CGGTGGTGACTGCAACCTTCTGCTGTAGAAATTTCTCCAACACCTTGGCAATCTATGAAGAAACACAGAAAGAGTAAACCTGATAGTAAAAGTATTCATATCTGAAGATGCTTAGTGCTATTGCTTTAATGTAACATGTATCACCTTGACTTCTTGATAGGCCAGTGTATTGTACTGATTCACAATGTCCTCCAGGTCCTGGCAGAAGAGATCGTACCCACCAGCTGTGGCATAAAATCCTTGATTGATCCGCTCGGTCATTGGTTCAGAGAGAACTGATAGAAGACTTTCACATTTTGCCTCGGAGGCCTTCTCGTTGTCCCAGAGATAGCTGTCAAACTGATGATTGATGGCTTCCTGAAACAGCACAACAAAACAGGAAGTAGTCTTAATGCTCACCGTTCGAGTTTTCTGTACACTTTATCTGCATCTAGTTATTTAGCAGATACTTTTGTCAAAGCAACTTACAAAGCAGTATCATTCATTGTATCCTGTCACAACCATTGGGAACATTCAGTGTCTTGCTCAAGGTCACTTTGACACATAGCCAGAATACACCAGGTTTGAACTGGGAATCTTCTGACTCTCAGTCTATTTCTCTACAAGAATACCAAAGTGCACTTATCCGTGCCACAAACTTTGCCCTGCTTTAGAAATAAGGTGCATAGTATGTTGTCCACTGGATACTAGGGATGGGAAGATTCCCCGATTCGCTCTGTGCATCGGCATAAAGAGTTAACGATGCATCGGTTTTTTAAAAAAGTGTGCATCGGATACAAGTTGGCATTTATATCGCAATGCATCGTTTCTAACATATTTGCATCAGTAAAAAACGATTTATATTTTATATTTAGTCATGCAAACATACCCATTTTGCTGTCAGGAGTGGGCGAGAGAAAGAGCACTGCTGCGCGCTAAACAGACGGAGCGCAATAGAATAATAGCGCAATAGTTCTGTGTAAAATATACATTTTGCTAAAATATTTGTTGTTGGACATTAAATGTGCCTTTTGTTGGATTTTAAACCTACATTTAAGTGTATTTCTAAGATAGCAGTAACTGTAAAGGGAGTATTGTAATGGGTAAAAATGTAAGCTAATGCAGTCATAATTACTTAAAAGTCCTAATTAGCAGTTTAAATGTGAGCAATCCATAAAGTGGCTTAAAGCCATCTATTGTTGTAATCTGTCCACTCCCACTGACCTCTAAAGATGTCAAGTACTTCCCATCACTGTCCCTGAAGGAGCGTTTCATGAAGGTCTGTGTTGCCATGAGACTGAAGCATTGGTGTTCTGAGGTGATTTCATTCAGTTCCAGAGGGAAGGACTTCTTCAGCTTCTCCATTCCACTCTGGTACACCTCAAGCCCCTCCTGAAAAGCAGCCTCATTCTCAATCAGTGCCATTGAGATCACAGCGTTCTCCAGACACGGCACAGCTCCACTGGCGATGGTGTCTACGTATGTTTTTACTAGATGACCCAGAACTGTAGGAAAGCAGAGGAGTCAAACACAAGTACGGTACAAAATAAATGGATGCTACGACTTTAGTCAGCTTTAGTTTTGGAAACTTTTCAAGCTTTATGTCATTAAGTCGTAGTCGATGAATAAAGATGCAAAGACAGAAAACATTAAGAGTCCAAAACATTAAAAGCATAAAAAAAACAAATATTTGATGACTGTTTTGGGTTAAACCATTTTGGTTACTATTGACTTCCATTTGTATGTCCAAAAAAACTACAGAGTTCTCAGAATAAATTCCACAAAAGAAAGAATGTCAGGTTTGGAATGAAAGGAGGGCGTGTAAATGATGACAGAATTTTCATTTTTGGGTGAACTTTAAGAGAATGTGCTACAGCAACATTAAAAATTAAATGGTGACCAATAGAGTATTTGTTGAAAAGCTTGTGGTACTTGAACTGTGGTTACTCTCAATATTGAATGCATTAGCCAGCATGTTTAACCGCCAACACATCACATAAAGCATTGTGAAGTGAATTTCTAGCATCTCCCCGATTCAACCATTTAGAGTTGGGCGATATGACCAAAACCTTACACCATGACACGAGCAACTTCCCATCACAGTAATGCCTGAAATTAGTTTTCTTTCTATACCAAGACGTTACTTTTATCTCTCAACACAACACTGCATTTTAATGCCATACCATTAAAGCTTCTCTCCATTTTCCTCTGATGTCAGTACTTTCATTTAGTCCTGGCACTGATTTATATGCTAGACAAAGTAATAAATATAGTATGGCCAAATCTCAAATGGTGGACCATTTACTGTATATCATCAACATTATGCTCTAAAACTGCTCAAAGTTAAAGCATTACAGACATGCCAGTATTATCTTCTAGAAAGCTGCTTTGGAACAACTACAGTATGTGTATTGTGAGAAGGGCTATAGAAATGATTTGATCTCTTGGATTAGCCACTGCTACATGAACCAATGAGTTACCTCTGCCGGTGACCGTGTGTCCGTCTTTCAGATTTTTCACTTGGCTCTGGTCAAAGATAAACTGGCAGAAACGACCCGTGACCTCCAAGAATCGTTTTGAAATCTCAGCTGGGTCCAGTGTCTCCAGATAAGAGACATTGTCTGGATTGGTTGGGAACGGGAAGGTGAAACATTTCCGAGATGGGAAGTATTTGCGAATGCACTCTCTTGGAAGGTTGTAATTGTTCACTTGACTCGAGTTACCTTCAAGAGAACAACACAAAGCTGTCCTTCAGTCAACGTACACAGTGAAAACTTGAACATCAAAGACACTGCTAGCTTGTTAACATGTTAATGATCAATGATCTTGGGGAACATTGAAGATAAACACAGAAAGCTAAAATCATTGACTGAAAGTGGCTAGAAAGGTTTTGTTTGCTAACAGAATGACATGACATGCTCTGACAAAGCTGGTCATAAAACTTTCAGGCTTCAAATATTACCTAGTTTTAGTTTCAGAGCAAACTCTAGGTATTCGTCCTCTGTTGTGTCTTTCCCATCGATGTTTAGCTGCAGAGTGAAGTCCCTCACGGCCCAGATGAAACTGGGGAAGAACTTGACAAACTCTGCATCATCTACAGCTTCATCAGGTGACTTGATCTTGATGTACTCTGTTAGCTCAGTGACGTATCTGTTCAGTGTGAGTCAAAGATCTGTTGAACATTCACTGCAATCATGTAAACTGAGAAGAGCTGTACCAGAGCAATCCCAGCTAGTGCCGAATTCCAAAATGGACAAAAGACATCTATAATTTGGACGTTGCTTTACATGGAGTCTTAGTAATTTATATATCATCAACCTGTTTACCTAAATACTCCGCAAGCTCTCTTATAAGTTCTGATCAGAAGGATACTGCAGTTCCTCTATAGCCCTGTTGTCAATAGTTCCTCGACTGTTCAGGACTAGAGTGCTGCTCAGAAGGACAGCCAGAGAGAAGATCCTGGTGTCATGCTTCGAGTCGCCCTGAGACAGACATGAGACCACAGCCCATAACAGACACACAGTTCCTGATACTGAATGATCAGTGATTGCGAGATTGGTGTACCATCAGACAGAAAGACACATAGATAATACATGATAGAGCTACTTTAGTTGGTCACCTTGTCCACGTCCCCGAGTCCCTCGGTGTCCAGCAGCACCAGAGTGGTTTCTGCTTTAGTGGGGTGAGGCACGCACCACATCCAGATGCCCTTCGTCTTGGACTCGATTGTGCTGCCCAGTGCAAACCCTGATAACCACACACCAGAAACCCCACAATGACTTGCATGCATTCATTTGAACAGCTCGAGCGTTTGGATGGCATCAGTGCTGCTGACCTGTTTGTTTCCCGGCCAGTCGATTCATCAGGTAGGACTTCCCGGTGCGATAGAGACCCACCACAGCCACCACCACCACGGGCTGCTGGATCTGCTCCAGAACCTGCAACGCTGACCCCTGCACACACAGCTTCCCATCGGACGCCGTGTCAATCAAGCACACTAGACCGTTAAACCCAACTCTCAATATTGCTGACTTTTTTGAGTCTATTCCCCTAGATTAATTATAAAACGGGAACGTAACAATTAGACAGTACAATAACTCCCCACACGAGCAGCCTTTCCTCTTTCTGTTTGTGTAAAATATTGCTTTAACAACACACTTTCACATCAAACTACACAAGCAGGCTGAGTAAGACACATAGAAATGCTTAAAGATTTGTTTGTGACCAGCTACAGTCTTTAACCAGACTGGGTTTAGTCTGTTGAATCTCTAACAAAACATGTCCAGAACATCTATCAAGAAAAGTCTGGCTGTAGAGTTCACACACACACACACTCACACACACACACACACACACACACACTAAAACAAACATGAAGAATCTGCTGCTGT